CTACAGAAGCAGAAAGGGAGGTGTCCCATCAAGCACTCAGCCCCATAAGTGAGACTGCTGTCTATTGTGAGCACATTCCAATAAACAGACCTGTGGGTCACCTGAGCCAGGGAAGTGTGGAAGTGGATATTCAGAATAGCAGACTCCAGCACAAAGGAAGTAACACAGGCCAAGATGAGAAAGCCACCTCTGTCCTCCTTTTAGCCTCAATATATCTCTTCCAACAAAGATTTAGATTAACTTCTCCAATTTTTCTAGTGAACCTCAGCACTTCTATACATAGCTTAGGTCACAGCTGACAAATTCTCTTTTTGGTCTGTCTATCTAATGTCCTATTTGTATTTTACTTACACTCCATCAGATGGGAACTCCTTGAGGATGGGGGCTATTTCTTCATTCCTCTTTCTCCCTCCAAAGCTCTGAAAGTAGATGGAGCTCAGAATCACTGTCTACATCCCACTTTCCTAATGACTACATGACTCCAAGCCTGGCCTAAAAAAGGTATAGGACCCAAACCTCTACCTGCTGACCACAAAGTCCACCTGGAGAGACAAGTTCACTATCTTCCATTACCCCACTACGTAGCTGGGGAAGGAGAACAGAGCAAAGAAGCAAAGATGGCATGCTCATATGTGGACTAAGCAGCTGGAAGGAAGGGCAAGACATTGAAGATTTCAAGAACAAATTCATTCAACCATTGCGACTTGGCAGGGAAAATCAAAGTCTACAAACCTGTGGGCCACTTACCAGCATCACCACACACCAGTTCAGGATACCTCGGTAGTTGCTGAATCCACTAGCTGAGCTGAACAAAGATTCCTGCAACCGGTGGCACCTGGTGGTTTGGGGGCGGGTGGGGGAGTAGGGGTAGGAAAGGGAGCAATAGGAAACAAGGCATTTTAGTGAAAAGTCAGCAACATGTGTAGTAAAAGCAGGGAACTAGACCTAAGTAAAAGTCCTATACCCTAGTCCAAAATGAGTTCTCTCAAACTTGTGAAAGTATCATGGGATGGAAAATGCTGTTCACATCTAAAGAAAGAACTATGGAGTTCGAATGCAGATCGAAGCATGATATTTTCTTCTTTTTTTCTTCCTCATGGTTTTTCCATTTTGTTCTGATTCTTTCACAACATGACTCATGTGGAAATATGTTTAATATGATTGTATATGTGTAGCCTATATCAGCACCCTAAATGGCATGCCATCTTGAGGAAGGGGGAAATTTAGAACTCAAAATCTTATAAAAGTGAATGTTGAAAACTATAAATAAATAAGTAAATAAAAATTTTTTTAAAGTATCATGGGAAAGGGTGGCAAGGTTTGGAGAGTCAGTCAGGTCACTCTCAGCATCTGAGCCCTCACTGTGTATAGTGGCTGGATCAAAGGGTAATTGTTCTGATTCTTCTTTTACAACATGATTAATGTGACTGTACATGATAACCTGTATCATATTGCATGCTGTCTTGGGATGGGGAGGAGGGAGGAAGGTACAGAAATCTGGAACTCAAAATGTTGCAAAAATGAATGTTGAACACAGTCTTTACACAGTGGTGGAATGTACAGGCCACTCATCTCAACACTTCTCAACTTGCACTTTAGTGAGTTCAGGCTGTAGAAAGGAACTAGAGTGAAAACACAACAATGCCCTAAGTAAGTCCTATACAAATGAAGACGGAACAAAGCGACCACCTTCAGTATTTGAGGGGCCCAAAAACAAAGGAACAACCAGAGTCCAGGGTGAGTAATCAGAGTACAATGTAAAAGTAACCTTTTACATTGTATGAGGTTGCCTTAAGTCCTGCAAGGATGCAAAACAGTTTGGTTTTTCACCTAAGGGTGTCAATTGACTCCAGGTCCCTATTTCCCTATAGGGAGAACCCCAAATGTTCTGAAAGCTCATTTGGCACTACAATTTCCCTAGGAGAGAGGAAGCCTGGTTTTCACCTTTTGGTTTTCTGAACAGAAAATAGGAAAGTTACTACTGGCCCTTGTGAAAAATTATCATTTCTTCACAAACCTGTCTCTTGCAATACATACATATAACATCAACAAAAAGTTAACAGAAGCAGAGAGAGGAAGCATCATAATGAGATTAAGAGGGAACAGTTTTTTTCCCCTAATTAATTTTATTTTCTCTCCCTCCCACCTACTCCCCGTTGAAAAAAACAAACAACATCCCAACCCTCATAACAAATAACCATGGTTAAGCAAAACAAATTCCCACATTGTCCATCTTCCATGTCTAAAAATTATATATCTTATCCTATATCCTGAATCCATCACCTCTCTCTCAGGAGATGGGTAGCATGCTTTATCATCAATCCTCTGAAATCACGGTTGGCCATTGTGAATTGCTTAGAGTTTTAAAGTCTTTCAAAGTCATTTGTCTATATGTCATTGTCATCACATAAATTGCTCTCCTAGTTCTGCTCACTTCACTCTGTATCAGTTCATACAAGTCTTCTCAGGTTTCTCTAAAACAATTCCCTTCATCATTTCTTAAAGGAAAATAGTATTCTATTACATTCTTATGCCACAACTGGTTCAACCGTTCCCCCCCACAAACATACACAAGTGATAGGCACTTCCTTAAGTTTCCTGATCTTTGCTGCCACAAAAAAAAAGCTGCTAAATTTTTGTACATATGAGTCATTTTCCTCTCTTTGATCTTAGGCCTAGAGGTCAAAGGATATGCACAGTTTATTAAATTTTTGTGCATAGTTCCAAATTACTTTCTAGAACACCACGTCCAATTCACAGCTCCTCCAACAGTGTATCAATGTGCATAGTTGCCCACAGGAAGAGAAAGACAATTCTTAAAGCCTTTATCCACTCATAATCTTACCACAGTGAGAGAGGGAAGGAGGCCTTTCCATTTTCTTGTTACAGTTACTTTTCTACTTGTCCAAATGAGACTTCTTTATTTTATTTTACAATTTTTTGTTGATGTACTTTGGTTTTTAACATCATCATTTTCCTGAATACCCTTCTTACCTGACAGCCATACCATACGACAAAATTTTTTAAAGACAAAGGAAAAAGAGAAAGGAAAAAAAATCCAGCACAACCAATCAATGCATTGAAAAAGTTAAAAAAAAAATGCAATGTGCAACCCCTGTGAATCTCCCATGTCCTCAAAGAGTAGTTTGGAAGTGTCCTCTCACATTTCTTCATTTGAGTCATGCTTGATTTTTATAATTTTGCTACATTCACTTTTGCTTTATTTTGAGAGTGGTTGTTCCTTCCGTTTACATTGCTGTAGTCACTGTGTATTTTTTTATGGTTTTCTTGGCTCTACCTATACTCTGCATCAGTTCACGTAGATCTTTCCATACTTCTCTGTTTCATCACATTCATCATTTCATATAGCATAGTAATATTCCATTACATTCATGTACCACAAATTGTTTAGTCATTCTCCAGTTGATGAGCGTCTACTTAGTTTCTAATTCTTTGCTACCACAAAAAAAAAAGTGCTGTTACAAATATTTTGGTGTATATGGGGACTTTCTTCTTATCAATGGCTTCCTTGGGGTATAAGCCTTGTATTAGAGTCTCTGGTTCAAAGAGTGGACATTTTAGTTACTTTATTTACATAGCCCAAACTGCTTTTCAAAATGGTTGGACCAATATAGAACATTATGAAAAGCAAAATGGATAATTTTGATTACATTAAATTGAAAAGTTTTTGCACAAACAAAGCCAATGCAACTAAGATTAGAAGGAAGCTAGAAAACTGGGAAAGAATTTTTACAACCAGCGTCTCTGATAAAGGCTTCATCTCTCAAATATATAGAGAATTAACACAAATTTATAAGAATACAAGCCATTCCCCAATTGATGAATGGTCAAAGGATATGAACAGACAGTTCTCAGATGAAGAAATTAAAGCCATCTATTGTCATATGAAAAAATGCTCTAAATTGTTATTGATTAGAGAAATGTAAATCAAAACAACTCTGAGGTACCACATCACACCTATCAGATTGGCCAACACGACAAAACAGGAAAATGATAAATGTTGGAGAAGATGTGGGAAAACTGGAACACTAATACATTGTTGGTGGAGTTGTGAAATGATCCAGCCATTTTGGAGAGCAATTTGGAACTATGCCCAAAGGGCTACAAAAATGTGCATACCCTTTGATCCAGCAATAGCACTTCTAGGGCTATATCCCAAAGAGATCATACAAATGGGAAAAGGACCCACACATACAAAAATATTCATAGCAGCTCTTTTTGTTGTGGCAAAGAATTGGAAATTGAGGGAATGCCCATCAATTGGGAAATGGCTGAGCAAGTTGTGGTATATGAATGTAATGGAATACTATTGTGCTATAAGAAATGATGAACAGGATGATTTCAGAAAAACCTGGAAAGACTTATATGGTCTGATGCTGAGTGAAGTGAGCAGAACCAGGAGGACTTTGTACACAATAACAGCCACGTTATGCAATGACTAAGAATGTTAAACTGAACCCTTCTCAGCATTACAAGGATCTAAGACATCTCCAGAGGCCTCAGGACGGAAAATGCTGTCCACATCCAAAGAAAGAATTATGGAAGTCGAATCGCGATCACTTATTTTTACCTTCTGTTGAGTTTTGTTTCATCTTTCTGATGGTTCCTCCTATTGGTTTTAATTTTTACTTACAACTTCACTAATGTGAAAATATGTTTCATGGGTATGTAAATGTAAAGCCTATATCAGATTGTGCACTGTCTTGGGGAGGGTAGGGGGGAGGAATGGGGAGAAAAATTTTCAACTCAAAAGCATATGGAAGTGATTTTTGATAAATCAAAATAAATAAATTTTTTTTAAAAATGGTTGTACCATTTCACAACTCTACCAACAATAGTGTGCCTATCATAGCACAACCTCAGCCTCCAACATTATTGCCATTTTCTGTCATCTTCTTAATTTGCAGAGTGTGAGGTGAAACTTCAGGGTTGTTTTGATTTGCATTTCTCTTATTATTAATGATTTGGAGCATTCTTTCATGTGATTGGGAATACTTTGCAATTTTTCTTGGTTTTTTTTGGTCATAAGTCAGCATTTATTATTTAAGTTGACGAAACAGGTTATGAATGGGGTGGCCTAGGGGAGAGGGAAGAAGGGAGGAGGCAGGGAGACGAGAGCCTCTCCTTTGTGTCTGCTCCCGATGGGGTTGATCCTGATTTCTGAGCCTTGGTCCAGGGCACACAATGAAGCACACGATAAGATAAGGTTCCAGGGGCTACAGGTTTAGGAAACATCAAGGGGTGGTCAAAGTTACACATCCAACTAGAGGTAAGGGCTGGGATTCTCCTTGGATCAGCAGCACCGCTTCCTTTCAGAAACTGAAGTATAGCGATAAGTTCCATCCCACTTATTTCAGCTCTTAGGAAACATTCTTGTAAAGTCTTTGTGCTAATGAATTGTTTCATCACCTCTCTAACTTTTTGTACTTTGCTTCTAGTTTCTTTGAATATGCATCCAACGCGTAAGCTGCCTGCTCAAGAGCTGCTACTTGCTCCTCAATTAAAGTGATCTGATCCAGATAAGGCTGAAGTGCTGCAGATCTCTGGTTTAAGTCCTTTAGGTTTCTACTTATGTTTACTGCAATATCTTTCATTTCTAGATACTTCAAGCTAGTCAGTTTCTTCATATTTTCCAGAAGTTTATAGTCTTCACTGGTGGCTGTCAGCTCGCCGGTTAGGTACGTGGCCATTTTGGAGAACACGTCCTGACACAGACCCGTGATGTCCACCTCAGCGGGCTCCGTGGCCTCCTGGGTCATCTCCACCACGGCATCGTCTAGGCCGGGTAAGGGAAGAAGGAGAAAGGATGGGGATGGAGGAAGGGAGGGGAAAGGAAGGGGGAAGGGAGGGGAAGGGGAGGGGGAGGGGAAGGGATGGAAGGGGAGAAAAAGGGAAGGGTGAAGAGTTGGAGAAGGCGGTAAGGGGAGGGGGCGGGGAGGGGGGCCCAATTTTTCTTTTAAGCATTGTTTGTTCATATCCTTTGCCAAATGTTATTTTATCACCATTACCACACCCTGTCATTCCAACTTTCTTCTCCAAAGGGTCATTTTGGTGGCTCTGATGTTAGGGTGAAGAAGAATTAGTAACCCCATTTTGCAGATGGAAAAACAGAGAATTAGTAAGATAGGTAACTGCCAGGCCTCAAGCAGAAGGTCTTGCAAACTTGGCATCTGCCTTGTAGGGTCTCATGGCCCCTGGCCACTCAGAGTGGGGAGAGGCCCTGGCCACCATCCAGACTTCCCCTTAATATGTCACTGGGACATAGTGAAGGAGAGGGACTGCAGTGAGGAAGACAAGTTACTACTTTTGCCAGTATCTGCTACCTGATAATCAACTAACATAAGGCTTCGACACAAATGGGCCCCAAGGACCTGACATCAGTAGCTAGGAAGTCACGTCTCTTCCCTCCTGGGTTAGATCACTGTACACTTGCCTGTGAGCATCCCTCATTGTTCTCTTTACTGAACATCCCTGACTGTTCTCATTATTGTACCAGTGGAACCTGAGAAAACCTGGGGATTCCCCTAAACTACAAAGAAGATAATGACCTGCTTTTGAAGAGGGATTTCCTTACCTGAGTTTTTAATATAGGTCTAGTTTCTTAACCTATTCAAATATAGGCCTGACCTAGACAGACAGGTAGGCCAGCCCACCATTTTCAGTCAATGTCCCCAATTCAGCTTTTCTTCATGCCTCCAGGTTAGCCCAGCTATCCCATCCGTTCACTTTCAGTATACTCACCCTGCAGGGTAGCCAGGACAAAGAGAAGTTTCTCTATAACCACAGCCCCAAGCCCTGACTCCGGGGTGGGTCATACTTGAGGGGTACAGAGGCTAAAAAAATATTTAGGTCCTTTCTGCTTCCTGGCCAAAAAAGACTCCAAGGACTACCTACTCCTACATCTGCCACTCTCATTGGGAAGGTTCTCTTTTTCTCAGCCTGCAGAAGCTCTACAAAGGATACTGATCTCTTCAGTAACATATTCTTTCATCATTTAGCTCCAAAGGGAACCTAACAACCCTTAGAACAGGAAGCAAACCAGTTCCAGAACAAGGGCTCCTCAAGAAAACCTAGGGGACTGGGGACCAGCACAGAACCAAGTTCCACCGCTGGGAAGCTAGTTTTAAGCTAGCGCTTGAAATCCCAGTCTCTCTTTAATTCACTAGCCAGAGCAAAGGCAGGCTCTTCAGGCTATGTCTTTTTCCTCCAGATCAAAGCTCAGTGAGAAAAAATACTTACAGAATAGACTACCCATATCCACCCTGTGCCTGCATTGGGTTCTTAAGCAATATTAAGTTGAGGACAGAAAGGAAAAGAGAAGATGAAGGAACATGCCAAGGTATGCCTCCTACTGTTCCAACCTGACTCAGGCAAAAACCCTAAAGCTTCTCAGACAGAAACGTAAAGCAATCCTTGAATATAGACAGGGGAGAAGGAAAAGGGGGAAGGGGAAGGGGAATAAGCATTTATATAGTACCTACTATGTGCTAGGCACTGTGCTAAGTGCTTTACAAATATTATCTCATCTGATCTTCCAAGTGAGCAGAGCAGAAAAAAAACTTCAGAACTCAGAAATTGGTTAGGAGGCCCTAAGAGGAGGCTAGACTTTCACCTACTCCTCTAATCTAGCCAACAAAATTTGTATGTCTCTAAGCCTGACTTCCAGCTCAAAATAGGCAGTTGATGCAAAGGAAATAAACACCCCAAGCCTTTACTGAGATGGGGAGGCCTAACAGACATTGGCCAGATAGCCCAAGGGGAAAGTTACCGTTTCCCAGAGCTAATGAAGAAACTAACACATCTGAGAAACTGAGCTGAAACACTCCAATGAGCCATTCACAAAAGTTCAATTTTCTGGGGCCAGGCTGCAGGACCAGGGAGCTGGGCTGGGGTAGAAAAGACAGAAGGGGTTATTCAAGTACTTGTTAGCCAGAGTGGGGACAATAGACAACTGACCTTTTTTTACCCCTGATAAGACCATCACAAAGTCACACAGCATAGGCCCTAATTCTAACCACACCCTCTTTATTGGGCATCCATAGTATGTAGCTCCGTGGTTGATGGAGGCCAAAGTGCCACAGGCCCTCACAGCCTGCCAGAAATCTTGCCTAATCCCCCAGCCAAAGGAGGTAAGAAGACCATGTCCTGTAAAACTGAATCTCCACCCCCATCACACCCCCCACCCCCACCCCGCCACACACACACACACACACACACACACACACACACACACACACACACACACACACACACACACATACACCCCTAGGCCTCTTTCTCTTTTCTTCACAATTAGATTATAGGTGGGAATGAATCAAGAATTGTTAGAAACTTCATTGTAATATAAAACAAGACACTTACTTTTCAAACCCTAGCAACATGACTCCTGGCCAACTACAGAGAAAAACTGCTCTTCAAAGTCAGTAATGCCAACTCTCAAAGCTTTTTATAAAGTCTTCATCTTCTCTATAATATTGGATGCTACTGAACAATTCTTCCCTTCTGGAAACTTCTTATTCCAAAGTATGGCAGTCTCTTAGTTCTTCTTCCTCCCTTTTTGACTACTCTTGCCTTCCCTTCCTACTTACTTCCTCTAAATAACAGGCAGCTAGGTGGCACAGTAAACAGAGCATAGAGCCTGCGAGTCAGAAAGACCTGAGTTCAAATCCATCCTCAGATACTTCTCAGCTGTGTGACCCCGGGCAAATCATTCCACCTCTGTTTGCCTTAGGGTTATTGTGAAGATCAAATGATTTTTGATGAAGCTCAAATATTTGTAAAGCACTTAAACTCTGCCTGGCACATAGCAGACACTATGTCAATGTTGATTCCCTTCTCTCTTTTCCCAAAGTTTAGTCTTCTCTTATCTCAAAGAGTCTCTCCTCTCAACCACTCCTCTGGCTTCAACTCTCCCAGTCTATGGTCTCTCCAAAAGCCAACCTGAATTACTAGTAATCCTTAGATATCCTGCATTTGCCACTTCCAGGCATTTGCTCACTTATCACTGCAATACTCTCCCACCATATCTCGGTCCATTAAAATTCTAACCAACCTCTAAGACTTTGTTTCTCCTTTATGGAGATACCTCAGCCAAAACATGGAAGGGACCTCAGAGCTCATCTAGTACAGAGATGCGAAATTCATGGCTAGGACTGCTACCCTAACCAGACTTAAATGTAATTGAGAAATGTTTAGTAAAATAAATAAAAACACAATAATACAGCATTATCTCACAGTTTTCCAAGTCAATAGGTGCCAGCACGGATCTATTTTTATTTGAGTTTAATACCAATAATCTAGTACACCTAAACCTGAACATATATCGTCCCTACAACCTTCCCTTGTCAAGTGGTCTTTTAACCTCCACTCCAAAATTCAATTCAACTCAATACAACACATTTATTAAGTATCTACAGGCCCTATGTTACGCTCTGGAGACACAAAGACAAAAATAAAGTTGCTACCCCCTAGAAGCTTACACTCTATTGGAAGGAAACAACATACCCACAGATAAGTATACATAAAAATCTATACAAAATGTAAAGTAATTTTGAGAAGGAAAAAAACTCTAACACTTGGGGAAATCAGAAAATTCCTCCTGTACAGAGTGGCACCTGAGCTATGTCCTGAAGGAAGTTAGGGATTCCAAGAGAGACAGGTAGGAAAGGAATCCAAGGGAGGCCACCTATGCAAAGGCAAGGAGCCAAAGGATGGACTATTGTATGCAGAGAAAAGTTAGTAGTCATTTTGATTGGAAAAGGGAGGGTATGAAGGGAAATAATATGAAATAAGACTAGAAAAGTAGGTGAGAGCTAGACTATGGAAAGCGGAACACCTTAAATGCCAAACTTTGCATTTTATTTCAAAGATGAGAGCCACTGAAGATGTTTATATAAAAATGTAATGTGGTCAGACAAGTATTTTAGGAATACCAATTTTACAACTCTGGGAAAGATGGATTAAAGAGGGGAAAACTAGAAGTAGGGAGATCAAACTGCAAGGCTTTTACGAGTCCGGGCAAGTGATAAGGGTTTCAAACTATGGTAGAGCCTATTTGAGTACAGAAAAGAAGATTAATTTAAGACATGTTATGGGGGTGGGAGAGAAGGAAGTATGCCTCCAAAGTTGTAAACTTGAATGACTGGAAAGATGGCAGTATCTTCAACAGAAAAAGGGAAGTTTGGAAGAGGGATGGGATTAGGAGAAAATAAAATTAGTTGCCTTTCAGACATGTTGATTTTGAGATGCCTATGGAACATCAAGGTGGAGATGTCCAGCTGGTAGCTGGTAATAAGGAACTGAAATTCAGGAAAGAGATTAAGGCTAAATACATAGACTTGGAAGTTGTCTACACAGAGCAAAAAATTAAACTTATGGAAGGTAAAGAGATCATAAAGAAAAGACTATAGGAGAAGAAGGTCTAGGACAGATTCTTGGGAATACCCACATTTAGGGACAGAAGAAAGAAGATTTAGCAAAAAGACTGAGAAAAAACTGCAGTAGGGAAACCAAGAGAGAGCAATACCACAGAATCCAAGGTAGGGAAAGACTGTCAGGACTAGGTGGTAGTTAATCACATAAAAAGCTACGAAAGAATATTCCAGAATCAGAGCATTTTAGAGTTGGAAGGGACCTCAGCAGTCATCTAATCCAACCCATAACTAAAGAGGAATCTCCTCTACAACAAATCCAAGTAGTCATCCAGACTTTACTTGGAGGCATCCAGTGAGGGAGCTCACTAAATTCTAAGACAGCCCATTCCACTGTCCGGATAGC